ATGGAACCTATCTATATAAGATTGGAGGGATTCATCCCTCTCTTGCCGTATATTGCTTAGGTAGCTCAGCGGTATTGAAAACTTCATGTTCGCCTGGAAGTGCCTCATAAATGTCAAGCTCATTTGAGGCCATGAGCTAACTGACCTTACTGGGAGTGACCTAAACCATCACTTGGCATGAGCAGTTAAGGTTACTACCAAACAGTGGCATTTCGCTAAGTCAGAGACTTGGTGGAGTTCCATGAGGTCGTTGAACTCGTATAAATGATCATGTGGATCGGAATTCCCATCAAATGCTCGCATGTCGAGCATTCTGAATCTTGATGGGCGAGGGGCAGCTAATACTACCGGAGAAAATGGAGACGCCTCTACGACTTGCCCTTGCTCATGCTACTGAGCCTTAAGCTGATCTAGAGCTCGCTATAGCTCCTCAATCTAAGGCAGCGGAGTTACCTGGGGATCACTTTCCGCAACGTGGGTTCGACCCTCACGGTTGTGGTTAAGGAAAGACCGTAAATCAGACTCTTCCTCACCTTGGTCGGGAGCTCCGGCCAATCTTGGCACACGATGGCTAGAGTCGTGTGATTGCATCGAGTGATTCGGATAGTCTTTTCGACCTCTGTAGTGGTACGAACCTACCCATAGACGATAGGAATCCCCTGCACGATGACGATCAAAGTCGTCCTTTTGGCAATATTAGGAATCTCCCCGCCTTGCACTTTGGTGGGAGTGGGAGTACGACGTGGTGCAGGACAGCTCATGCTACGACATGTCTCGAGTCGCAATGCCATGGGTATTCTACCAGGGGCACGGTCGATGTTCGCTAGTCCTTCGGAGCCTTTGGCTCCGCTGTGTGCCACTTGTTTTCCCTTTCTCTGACGCACTACAGTGCTCGCGGTATAGGCTTTTGCCCTTTTTCGCACTTTCACGCGACCTGCAGGCGTTTTCGGCAGTGGCACCGCCTCATTGGATTCGAGTGGCATGACCCGATCCAATCGGTCTAGCCTTTGGCAGACCGTTTGAAGAGTATTATTGAACCTCTCCAGGTAACTCATGACGGTTGGGTTGAGCTGCGAGCTTGAAGGAATATCCCCAGAGATATTTTGCTGGACTGGCGGCATTTCGGGGGAAGTGTCCTCTTGGATCTGGGGGATTTCTTCATTTCCATGATCGGTTCGCTCAGATTCAAAATCGCGAGCCATTTGCTATTGTGGGACCGATTAGTCAGAGATTTCTCTGATGAAGAGTAGGTAATAAATCAGGGTCTCCTTCTAGCGCTAAAACTATTGATGCTTGATTTTGACACCAACTACTCGCACATGAGAAATGCTAAGCAGACTTAGAAGTCACATGCAATATGTGAATGTTTAGTTAAATAAAGGGTGAAAGGCAATGTTTAAAGTGGTTCAGATGCTCAAAAGTGAATCCTACGTCCACTGATATTGTATTAATGAGACTAAGGTCAGGTCGCGTTAAGCGAGCTGAGTTACAGCTTAAAGAGAATATAAGAGAGAGAGAGAGAGAGAGAGAGAGAGAGAGAGTAAACTATTTTAGCGTAAAATTAGCCAATCCCGCAAATGAGAGGGAATGCCTCTATTTATAGTGGACTGAACCAAGGTAATGATTACAAAATCTGCGAGTGGATGGGTACCGTGTAAATCATTCTCTACGTTCCATTGCTCACCTGTCTGAGCGATTTCCTCGACTTATGCAGGGTTTGGACATGTGGACGATTTCCAACCATCTGCTAACCTAGCACTCACCAACTGCACTGACAAGGGTGTGCCACTTACGTCATTATGCGACATGGCTACGTCTGAACGGTCGCAGAACCTTTCCAAGTTCTGACTATCCCATGCTGACAAGACTCCACATCAGCCTTACCTTTTAAGGCATAACAATGGTCATAAATAAACCTTTGATAGTGCCATTAATTACCATAAAAGCAGTTAATAAATCTAGATAAACTCTACAATAAGTTTTAATTTACTGTAGTATTATGATTATAAATAAATAAATAAACCTTTGATGTCTAATTACCGTAAAATCCGCTAATGAATCCAGGTAACTTTACCTCAGATTATATATCAGCTACTTTTATCTGATGCCGACGCTAGTTGGGTGGCTAAAATTAACCTATTCATCAATTTCTATTTTGGCTGGTGTTTTCTCATTATTTTTTAAGTTAAAATTTACCCAGGTAAGAACAAATAAAAAAAAAATTTGTAAGGAGCATTAATTCCACCAGTTAAAATAGACAACTCTTGGGTTAATGTCCCCAATTTTAATGAAATATTTACTCCTTTTGGCTTTGAAATAACAAATATTATTTGTTTATTGACTGACTTACGAAAATTAATTTTCAGAAATATAACATTGTTTCTAGAGTTTTTATTATGTAAATCCCAAATGTGAAATCTACTTCTTATAGTCAACAAAATAAATCTAGAACTGATTTAGCTGATACCTGTTTACCAACACGAATTTCTTTCTATAGAAGTGAGTCATCAGATAATTGATAACACTTCTAATTAATTACATGATTATGACAATAAATGAGATTAACGTGTTTAACTTATTACTTTACTTTACTGATTTCGGATAAGATTATAACTTTTAGTCCCTACACATTTAAGTTGAGAGGGCTGTCGTCTATATTGACAAAGCTTATTACAGTGTTTATATATATATATATATGTTTTTTTTTTTTTTTTTTTAAATCTTTGACATTTTGCGAAAGCTAAAAAAAAAACCATGATCAACGATTTTTTTCCCTTTAATTTTTTTTGTATTAATTAACGAAAAGAACCATCAACTTGACCCTTAAGTCTTTGGTTAAAGCCGTGTCTCAATAAGTATTAAATTTGATAATGAGTTATTGTTTAATAATATTTGATTAACTAGATAATTGCTTTTCATTACTTTTTCTTTTTCTCTCTTTTAAGTTTGAAAATAATTAATCATAAATATTATATACAAATTTCTATTGACTGATTTGATCTGTAGTTTGCACAATCACCATTGTAAACTTTGTCTTCATCAATGCAGATCCCAACGCCAAAAGCTAACATTGACATTCAGATTATACATTAACATTAAATAGTATTTATCTAATGTAGAAGGCGTGAATAAAAAGTTATTTTCCCAAACGAATGTGTTAGACATTGGGACGCCAGAGCGAACGCTCCCAAAACGATTTGAGCAAAGAAGTAAAAACTTTGAGTAAAATAAGTGAATGCATGTGATGAATAAAAACTAAAAGCACTGAATTAATGCATGTAATCAATAAAAACTAAAAGCATGCACTTTTTTCAAAGCATAACATACTGTAGTTTTGATATTCCGTATAAAAACCCTAATCCACATTTTGCCATGAAATATACTAAAAAAAAAAAGCCTGAAATTTTTTAACTAATTATCACCGACACTACAGAATCAGAAGTGAATATGGAATAGATATATATAGAAACACCTAAGCCCCATGTCAAAAACAAAATTAGAAGAACAAAAGAAAAAAAGAAGCAAAGTAAAATGAACAGAGTTGATACCTAAGTTTGGCAAGAATGAAAAGGACTTCCAATATGGGGTGGTGCTCCTTCATTCACGGCTTTAAAAATTAGGGTTAATGGTGGACACATTAGACAAAATAATAGTAATAAATTATCATAAATGGGGACTCCATGTTTCATATGTACTGGTTACTATTTTTTAATAATAATAAATTAAAAGCAAAGTTTGGATCTGAAAGGATTTTGACAAGTGGTAGAGATTATTATGAATGTTAATTCTTAAGCACGATTATCAAGAGGAATGTTTGTAGGTCCCATGAAGAACTAAAGATGGGAAGTGCCAGTCAAGCTAAGAGCTTCTTTTGTCTTTAAATATATAAAAGAAAGAAAAAATATTAATATGGGGGAGTATATGTAGTTGGGAAATTAGGAGAGATTATCCATTATTTTTTAAAATTAATAAAACCGCCCTTAAATTGGAAAAAAAATAAAAATTGCTCTCTCAAAGAGTTTCTAATAGTTTTTGTTGCTGACATTCAATAAAGAAGCCTTCTAAATAGGATTTTTTTTTTTTTTTTCATAATACAAATGGTTTAAAATCACTCAATAGTAAAAAACTCCATGTTAATAGAGAGTTTTTTTTTAAGGTTCAGTAAGAAAAACAAAATACCTGGTCTCCAAAAGTTCTGAAATAAGAATGTATGAGGTGATAATAGCGTAAATGTAAAGGCTGCAATGAAATTCTGTTAAAAGTGGGATAGCATGTGAAGGTATGGTTGATGGGGTCATACCTAATACATCTTTATGTAACTCATCAAGGTATTCTTAAATCTTTGAGATCCTATCCTACTTGCAATTTCTTCATCAAATTTTGTTTTTAATTATGTGAGAAAAGAATCTCAAGACTTATAGATAGTGCTGATATGACCTGACACTTCTGACCTGTTGGCAACCAAAAAGAAAGTAAAAGTTTGCTGTAAAGGATTCACACCCATCATTCCAACTGACTTTGAGCTAAAGCAATATTAAAGAATCTACTCATTTAACTGATTACCAGTCAAACCCATTTATCTCAAACTCCAATTTTTAAATTATTAACAAAAATTAAACACTATCATTTGATTTCTTTACTACTCTTGATGTATGATACTATCGTGATATTATTGATGTGATATCATCAGATAATATATATGCAAATGGTTATTACATTCAATAACTATCTATCATAACTAATTTGAAATTATAAGAGAAAGACAAAATTTACAAGTGATATAGAATTATCAAAGGGTAGTAATATCCTCGTTATATTCTAGATTTTTTCTGCTTGCATATAATATTATTAACAATCATAAAATCATGGAATAGAAGCTCAAGAAGTTGGAGATTTTAGTCTAATTTGGTATCTGGTTTTCTTTTTATACAGTGTTTTATGATTACAATTCATTTCTTTTCAAGTCTCCAAATGATCACACAGCAGCCAGCAAAGAAACAATTCAGCAAATTGTATATAAAGGGAGAGTGCTAAAACCCAGAGTTGAAACTGAAGAAACTAAGAAAACCAACAAGATGCATGTAATCCTATGTGTTAGTTTTTTTATCATCAACAACTCTTAACAAAGTCACTCATAATGTGAAATGAAAAAGAAAAAGATAAATCAAATTGAAACACCTACTTCTTCTTGTTCATTCACTTTCTTTACTATTCATTTCACCATGAGCCTCCACCCAACATTCCAGTCCAATACCCAGCAGACTGATGATTCCCTTGCCCTCTATTCAGTTCAACCTGCTGTTTTATGTCCCCCACAGGAAACAAAAGTCTTGCACCCGTTGCTTGCGCTCCTTGAACATTTCCATACCCACTACTTTCAAATCCTTCAATTGAAAAATTTAGGCTTGGTTTGAATTCTGGCAATGGAAACCCAGCTGGGAATATTGTATTAGACTCTGAATTAGCTGGAATATTAGGCATAAAGGCAGTAAACCCCCTTGCAGGAATTGAAGAAGAGTTTGTACTAGTGTTTTGATAATCTTGATCACTTGGAGGATAAGAAAGGTTGAGATCCTGACCCTGATGGATCTTAGGGTTTTGAGAAGCAGACTGAGGGAAATTTGGTGGGGTAAAATCAGCAAGTTTCTTTGATATAGCTGGTGATGTTGATGAAGATGAAGATCTTTTATTTTTTCTTGATCCTCCACCAACAGGAACATTTCTTAGAGATCCACCTTCAGTCCAGTACCTCCTACAAGTCTTGCAGAAATATCTTGGCTGAGAAAGACTGTAGTTATTGTAGTAACAAAATTTGGTGTTGGTTGAATTGCACCTAGGACAGTTCAAAGCTTGATCTTTCTGTGGTCTTGCTCTTTTCTCCATTAAAGACCTTGAACTTTCCATAGGATTATTAACTAACCCAATTCCCTGATATTCACAAAAAGAGAAAAGAGTAAAGAAAAAGAAAGGGAAAAAAGCCATAAGTTTTGTTGATGATCAAACAAAATAATTTGTAGAGAAAGAGATAAAGTGTAAAAGGAAAAAAACAAGGGAAGTTGCTTTACACTTTGAAGATTGCAACGGCAATAAAAACAAATTATAACAACTTTCTGGGTCCTTTATCAGATAGTTGAAAAAAGAAGAAAAAAAAATTGAATAAAAGTGGAGTACTACTTTCATGAACAACATATGACAGATCTTGAAGGAAAGACAGCAACAGAAAATTGAAATATTAGTGGGGGCTGAACATCATCTTCATGGAAAAAAGTAAACTTTAGAGAGATAGATCGGTTAATCAACAAGAAAATTATCAAAACAAAAAGCTAAAAATATATTCTAATTGGTCTTGAAAATCTCAACTTAAAAGAAAAAAAAAAAAAATATCATGATTTCAAGTTGAGAAAAAAATAAAAAAGGTGGTCTTTACCTGTGGCCACTGAGCAGTATCCATGGATTAAGAAGGAAGAAATTGAATGGAAAGATGAAGAAGTCTTGAAAGAGAGGATCAAATCATCTACTTTTTCGAGAGCAACTGGTCTAAAAGCAAAATGAAAAACACTTGAGATGAAATTAGTGGTGGTTCTATGTGTTGGCCAACTATATGAGAAAGAAAGGGTAGTTTTGTCTTTTAACTACTGCTTTTGCATTATCATAATCCTATTTGCCCTACTTTATCCAATTTTATATCAATATATTCTGTATAATATCTTTCTAAAGAGTACTTTGTATTATTCTTTGTGGGTGTCTTTTGGCCTAATGCAGTGTAGAAATTCAGTGGGTTCTTTTCTGACCAGAGAATGAATGATCGAGGAAGCTGTGAAATGAAGATGATTCTCCTTCACAATTTCTATGCAATTTCTTTAATTCTTTTCTCCATACAAGAGAGAAGTGTTCTCCTTTATAAACCCATATAAAGACAAATTAGGCAACCGGTAAGAATTGCAAACACAAGAAATGTTTTTCAGTACATGTCGTTTAGTAATTATGGAAACCATAAAATTTGTGATTTTTAAAATCTAATTCGCTTCTAGGGATGTCAATGGGACGGAGTTGGGTTGGAGACTAAGACTTTCATGTCCATGCCCACCTCTTTAATGAATACCCTAATCCACCCCATTAGGGCTGACAAAATTAGGCACGACCCTGTTAGGGATGTTTTGGGATACAAAAATAATAAATAAAAGTTCAATAAACGAATTAAATTACAAATAAATCAAATTTAAACAAATTTCTATAATTATTATTGGATCTTTTACGGTTTTTTCCCCTTTCTAAGTTCTTATTTGTTATAATAGTCGCATTCTGGTTCACACTCCCATTGGCTGTTGTTAAAATAAAAAAGTTTATAGCATTTTAATTTATTGGGCAAGTTTTGACAGCTCTCTTTGGAGATTTACTGATTTCTTCATTGATATATAAAAGTTTTGAAAAATCTTTTTGACAATTTACTTATTTGACTCTTCATTGATAAATGATCATTGCCTTTAGCTTCATCCTATATTGGTAGATCCATANAATTTCTTTAATTATTATTGGATCTTTTACGGTTTTTTCCCCTTTCTAAGTTCTTATTTGTTATAATAGTCGCATTCTGGTTCTCACTCCCATTGGCTGTTGATTAAAAAAAAGTATAGCATTTTAATTTATTGGGCAAGTTTTGATAGCTCTCTTTGGAGATTTACTGATTTCTTCATTGATATATAAAAGTTTTGAAAAATCTTTTTGGCAATTTACTTATTTGACTCTTCATTGATAAATGATCATTGACTTTAGCTTCATCCTATATTGGTAGATCCATAGTTCTTAATAAATCTAGATGTGATAAACTTGACGACCTACAGTATTAATGCTAGCCAAATTTATCATTAGTTTCAAAGCGCACTGCTAAAGTTATAGTTCATTTTACTACTTGCCACTTTATTGACAAAGGAGAAAAAAATATTGAATGTGACGCACAAATTCCATGTCTGCTGTTGCATATTTGGACACTGCTCGTATGTTTATCTCCATTTAACTTTGACTAAGACTCCTTACACTGTGAATTAGTTTGTTTTTCATTTATCATTTATTATTACTCTTGCTTTATTGTTATTGATTCTTCCTTGTAATTTGGATCATTTTCTTTTCAATTGTGCATGTTGTAGGTTACTGCTAACAGCTGGGAAAGTGGACTGTTTATTTGATTTATAGTTGTATTTGCAGTAATAGCTGCTGGTTATGTTCTTGTAAAGGTAATTAAATGCTTTTCTTGAGGTTATTATGGAAAATTATGCTTTGTTTAGTGTTCTACCACCACTACTACTGAGTTCCATATACGTTCACATACTCGATCCTTATTGATAAATGTCTTTATCAGGGTCCCGCTAGTCGTCTCTGTTGGGCGTTCCACTGTACCTAGTCTGATATAAAGAAAAAAATGCTTTCCAATTTTTTTGTTAAAGTTTATTAAATAAGAACTATAGTCATGATCTAAATGTTGGCCTATCTCAGTAATCATACATTTAAATACATTTAATATAAATCTAGGATCTACAATAAGACCTAATCTATATAAGAATGAAATATCTAACCAATATTTCTAGTATTTTGTTTCCATTTGTGAAACAATGTTGCTTAAATTTTCATCATATCTATCTTTAGCAAAAGTTTTAGAATTTGAAGTAAAATATCTAACGCTATATTAGTAGTAGGATAATAAATACCACTTAATTTATTAGTGGAATCATAAAAAACTTTAAGAAATGAATGAAAAACATTGCAAACCGACCAATCATCATTAAAGGTGGAAAAATAACCCGTCCGGCCCGGCCCGTGGCGAGTTATAGCAATTGGCAGGCTGGGCCTAACCCGGCCCGCCTCTTGGCCAAAAAGGTTGGCCCAGCCCGGCCCACCAACCCTAACCCGACGGGTTTTGATGCGGGCCGGACCGGGTTAGCCCATAATTTTTTTTATTTTTTCTTTGTAATTGTTTTTAGTTAACTTTTCAAATATCAATAATTCAATTAAATTAAATTTTTTTTTTGTTAACATTTCAAATATTAATTCAATTTTAATACAGTAAAATTGTAATATAAGAAAAATTAGATTTATTCATATATCAAAAAATAAAATAAGAAATTACAATAATTATTGCCTCGTTAAAAACCTTACCAAGAAAAACCCAATGGGACAAAAACTTGATAAGGAAAAAAGAGTGCAATAATTGACAATTAATTTACAAAACAACTAATTTGGGGGTTCACTAGGATCTACCTCATCTGTATCATCTATATTACAAAATTGAAATGATTCTATTAAAGTATCGTCGACAACCTCGTATTGATCTTGATGGTGTGATCGTTCCCAATCTCGAAGACATATGAGGACTTCAATCATTTTTTGTGAAAGTTTATTCCTCATTTCATTTAAAATTCTTCCACTTGCACTAAATGTTTGTTTGGATGAGACGGTTGAGACAGGAACAGAGAAAACATCCAAGGCAGGTCTTGATAATATCGAAAAAAATACATTTTCTGGTTTTCCAATATTCTAAGACATCAAAGTTGGCTTATTATTGTGGATCTGCTGGTAACACTTCGGGGGTTCCCAAATATTAGTGAAGCTCATTACTTTGTACCTTCATAGAGGACAGTACATTCGTTGTTGGTGCTTCTAAAGAGGAGGTTGTGCTTTGGGTTTGGGTCCTCTTCGGCCTATTAAGTGTACTCCAGGAGTCGAAGTCTTCATTTGTTTCTTCTGATGCAACTTCCTCGAGTATTTCCCCTCTTTGCTGGTTCCCATACCTGTTTTCATATTGTAAATATACCTTTGCAAGACACTCTCTTACCTCTCCTAGTTGATTGTGTTGGGATTCATGCATTTTGGACATGGAATTGGAGAGAAAATGATGATCAAGATGATGGACATAAGGTAGAAAACAAACAATTAAAACATTAACTTATTAATGTAAGAAAAGGATAGAAAATTACCAACTCCTTTTACTATTAAAAGCTTGATGTTGAAACTTGGAGTCTAAATTCTTGAAACTCAAAATGAAATCCACCCAAGCCAAAGATGAGAGAGAGTCGAGAGAGTGAGAGTGCTTTTTGTTTTCAATTGTTGCAATTTCATTAAAATGGTATAATACTTAATTTATATACCATGGGCACAAAGTGTAATTTTAATTTGTTTTGGGAAGGCCTCAAACAATTTAAAATTAACTTGAGAATAAACATTTTTGTCAAGTCCTTGGTTTCATGGTTAATTCATAATTAGACCAAATTTTAATTCCACTAAGTATTCTAACCCTTTAGAATAAAACCAATGCACTTTTGCCCCAATTATTGAATCCAATTCAATAATAATATTTAATAAACCTTTATTATCCTTGGTTAGTGCTAGCTATCCATGGATAATAATTTCTCACCAATACATTAATTCGGATGCAACCATTTACGTCCGAACATCATTAATTTGATTAATGATATGTATTACTCTCTCTCCTTGAGCTTGGTTTTATGTGTGACCATCTTGGTTCACTGTGATCTAGCCGTGGGCCCAATATCGGATTTTGATATGTTTCGTTATAACTTTTTATAATTGAAACTCCCACTGATTATGGTAGACGTCTAGCAAAGTTTCATAACCCCTAAACCACAATGAAGTGTAAACTCTAATAAACCTATTCTGATCGTACGTACCGTGTAGTCAAATCCCTCCACTATCTAATCCCGATTAAGAATGGTTCATGGTATGTCAAAACCTTTAACTTAATCTTTAATCGAATTGCCAATCGATACAATGGAACTCGTCAACATGAAACTACTTTTCATCTGACATTCATTATACTCTGGCCAGAGATTTCCCTTTTCCAATGTTTATTGACATTCGTCTGGGAACTCGAGATTGGACTATTTTGAGTTAACCGATCCCATCTTAACCATCACTTGTCCTCGCAAATGGATAACATATGACCAAACTGACTTATTACACAAGATATGACTAGTCTCGTGCTTATACACCATATGAATCATATGCATCCTATATTGAATCCAACCGTGATGTCTCAGGTCTAAGGATAAGTGGAACACTAGCATGATCCTATGATGCATAATTGACCACATCCATGTGATTCATCGTAATCGGTCATATTCGATAAACAGTTCACTAACCGTTTATCCATGATAATGCCTTAGTGACATACCTCTTATAATCACCCACACTAATACCATCACATGATATTCAATGGAGACATTCAACATGCCTACTAGGCAATGTTATTGCCCAATTAATATTACTTGTGTAGGGAATTCTTTGATGATTTGATCTTCTGAAGATCCGTGTCATCTAGACATTTCACATGCAATATTAAATATAATATAATATAAATGAAGCAGAAAATCAACATGTGAAATAATAACTCTTTCTTTTATTCATAAGATATAATGTCCTGAAACCGACAACATGATTGGTTCCTAAGGCATACATTAACAAAACTCCCACTTGCACTAAAGTCAATCGTTGTGGTATCTAATACCCATCTTCTAAAGATGATAGTCCAACTGCTTTTGTGTCATCACTTTAGTGAGTAGGTCAGCTACATTCTCTGCTGAAGGTGTTTTTTGCACCAAAATTTCTCTAGCTCCAATGAATTCTCTCAAAATGTGATATTTACGTTGAATATGTTTTGACTTATAGTGTGCTCTTCGCTCCTTTGCCTGTGCAATAGCACTAATATTGTCACAGTACAAGGTTATCAGATAAACCATGTTTGGAACCACACCAAGTTTAGTCATGACTTTGCGCATCTAGACAACTTCCTTTTTCTGCTTCTGAAACGGCAATGTATTCAGCTTTAGTAGTGGAATCGGCAATACTTGACTGTTTAGAACTTGTCCAACTGACTGCTCCTCCATTGCATATGAAAACGAACCCAGATGTAGACTTTCTATCATCCACATCTGATTAAAAATCAGAATCAGAGTATCCTTCAATTTTCAACTCTAAATGTCCATAACTTAGTATTAGATCCTTAGTTCTTCTTAAGTACCTAAGGATCGTCTTAACAGTTGACCAGTATTTTTCCCCGGGGTCAGACTGATATTTGCTTGTAACACTCACAACATATGCAATATCAGGCCTAGTACATAGCATAGCGTACATGAGAATACCTACAGCTGAAGCATAGGGTATCTCACGCATCCGCTCACACTCCTTATCAGTCTTTGGACTCATATCTTTTGAAAGATGAATTTCGTGATTGCAAGGCAAAATTCCCCTTTTGGAGTCTTACAGGCCGAACTGTTTCAGCATCTTTTCTATATACATCTTTTGGGATAAGCCTTTCAATCCTTTCGTTCTATCTCTATAGATACGAATTCTTAGTATGTAGGTCGCTTCTCCTAAGTCTTTCATGGAGAAAGTTCTAGATAACCACAACTTAACTTCAGTCATCATCCTAAGGTCATTTCCCATCAATAGTATGTCATCTACATACAGTATGAGAAATATGATTACATGATCCTTTGTCCATTTATAAACACAGGGTTCATCCGGATTCTTCATAAAACTAAACGTTTTGATGATTTCATCAAACCGGATGTTCCAGCTTCTTGAAGCTTGTTTTAACCCGTAAATGGATTTATGTAGCTTGCACACTTAATTTCTTTCAGAACTAGATACAAAACCTATAGGGTGTTGCACGTAGATATTTTCCTCAATAAACCCATTGAGGAATGTTGTTTTGACATCCATTTGCCATACCTCATAATCATAGGGTGCAGCTATGGCTAGCATAATTCTAATTGATTTAAGCATAGCGACTGGTGAGAAAGTTTCCTCATAATCCAACCCTTGTTTTTTAGTATAACCTTTCGCAACAAGTCTTGCTTTGTAGGTCTTTACATTTCCATCTTTGCCAATCTTTCTCTTGAAGATCCATTTACATCCAATAGGAACTATTTCTTCTAGAGGATCAACGAGAATCCATACTTTGACTAGCATGCATGGATCCTATCTCAGAATTCATAGCTTTTAGCCATTTTCATGAATCGATATCTAATATCGCTTTTTCATAACTTCTAGTCATCCCCATGATTGACTTCTCCAATCATGATAGATTCAAAATCTGTCAGAAGTACCCATATCTTTCTGGAGTCGAGATACTCTAGATGATTTATTATCGAGACCTTTCAGTATTAATTTTTCCTAGAGGGACCACCTATTTGAGTATTTTGTCTGAGGCTCCTCTGACTCTTCTTGGAGCACAATTTTTCTTCCGCACCACTCTCTTCAAGAACACTTTCTCAAAAAAGTGCATTCCTACTGATCTAAATTCTTTGATCAATATGGATGTAAAAATATATCCCAAACAAGGTCAGTTTATAGGGTATCCAAACTATTTTGGATACCCTATAACTGACCTTTCTTAGATCTAACGTCCAACTTGTTTATCTTGACATCTTGACATAAGCGGGACAACCCCAAATTCTTAATATTTGAGACTAGGAGTTTTACCATACCACTCTCTATGGTATCATCTCAATAGATTTAGATGGTACCCCATTCAGAATATGCTAACGGATTCAAGGGCAAATCCCCATAGTGACGTTGGCAAGTTGTAAAACTTACCATCCCCGTACCATATCCAATAAAGTACGGTTCCTCTTTTCAGACACGCCGTTATGTTGCGCATATACGAGGAGTCAACTGGGATTTATACCATTCCCCTTTACAAAATCTCGAAATTCATACTTAGTATTCACCACCATGATCTGATCACAGAGTCTTAATACTCTTTCCGGTCTGTTTTCTCTACTTCATTCTAAACTCTTTGAACTTTTCAAAGGATTCAGATTTGTATTCATTAAATCAAATACCCGTACCTAGATAATCGTCGGTAAAGATAACGAAGTATTAAACCTCCTCGAGCCATTTCATAAATGGTCCGCATACATCTGAATGTACAACCTCTAATAATTCTTTGGATCTTTCCCCTTTACCCTTAAAAGGTGATTTGGTCATTTTTCCTTGAGACAGGATCATAAGTTGGATAGGGTCTGAACCCAATAGGATTAAAGCCTATTTGCTTCTAACCTGATTATCTTTTTATTCTTTAGACCTCAAAAGTGATATTTACGCTGAATATGTTTTGACTTCTGTGTGCTCTTGGCTCCTTTGCCTGTGCAATAGCACTAGTATTGTCACAGTACGTTACAGATAAACCATGTTTGGAACCACCACCAAGTTCAGTCATAAACTGCACATCTAGACAACTTCCTTTTTCTGCTTCTGAAACGGCAATGTATTCAGCTTTAGTAGTGGAATCGGCAGTAGTTGACTGTTTAGAACTCTTCCAACTGATTGCTCCCTCCTTGCATATGAAAATGACCCGATGTAGACTTTATATCATCCACATCTGATTGAAAATCAGAATCAGAGTATCCTTCAATTTTTAACTCTAATGTCCATAACTTAGTATTTGATCCTTAGTTCTTCTTAAGTACCTAAGGATCGTCTTAACAGCTGACCATGTTTTTCCCCCGGGTCAGACTGATATCTGCTTGTAACACTCATAACATATGCAATATCAGCCTAGCACATGCATAGCGTACATGAGACTACCTACCTGAAGCATAGGGTATCTCACACATCCGCTCACACTCCTAATCAGTCTTTGGCTCATATCTTTTGAAAGATGAATTTCATGACTGCAAGGCAAAATTCCCTTTTTGGAGTCTTGCATGCCGAACTGTTCAGCATCTTTTCTATATACATCTTTTGGATAATTCTATCAATCCTTTCGTTCTATCTCTATAGATACGAATTTTTAGTATGTAGGTCGCTTCTCCTAAGTCTTTCATGGAGAAAGTTCTAGATAACCACAACTTAACTTCAGTCATCATCCTAAGGTCATTTCTCATCAATAGTATGTCATCTACATACAGTATGAGAAATATGATTACATGATCCTTTGTCCATTTATAAACATAGGGTTCATCCGGATTCTTTATAAAACCAAACGTTTTGATGATCTCATCAAACCGGATGTTCCAGCTTCTTGAAGCTTGTTTTAACCCGTAAATGGATTTATGTAGCTTGCACACTTAATTTCTTTCAGAACTAGATACAAAACCTATAGGTTGTTGCACGTAGATATTTTCCTCAATAAACCCATTGAGGAATGTTGTTTTGACATCCATTTGCCATACCTCATAATCATAGGGTGCAGCTATGGCTAGCATAATTCTGATTGATTTAAGCATAGCGACTGGTGAGAAAGTTTCCTCATAATCCAACCCTTGTTTTTTAGTATAACCTTTCGCAACAAGTCTTGCTTTGTAGGTCTTTACATTTCCATCTTTGCCAATCTTTCTCTTGAAGATCCATTTACATCCAATAGGAACTATTCCTTCTAGAGGATCAACGAGAATCCATACTTGACTAGCATGCATGGATCCTATCTCAGAATTCATAGCTTTTAGCCATTTTCATGAATCGATATCTAATATCGCTTTTTCATAACTTCTAGGATCATCCCCATGATTGACTTCTCCAATCATGATAGATTCAAAATCTGTTCATGAAGTAACCCATATCTTTCTGGAGGTCGAGATACTCTAGATGATTTATTAATCGAGACCATTTCAGGTATTAATGTTTCCTGAGAGGGACCACCTATTTGAGTATTTTCGGTCTGAGGCTCCTCTGACTCTTCTTGGAGCACAATTTTTCTTCCCGCACCACTCTCTTCTAAGAACACTTTCTCAAGAAAGTGTGCATTCCTACTGATCTAAATTCTTTGATCAATATGGATGTAAAAATAATATCCCAAACAAGGTCAGTTTATAGGGTATCCCAAACTATTTTTGGGATACCCTATAAACTGACCTTTCTTAGATCTAACGTCCAACTTGTTTATCTTGACAATCTTGACATAAGCTGGACAACCCCAAATTCTTATATATTTGAGACTAGGAGTTTTACCATACCACATCTCATATGGTATCATCTCAATAGATTTAGATGGTACCCCATTCAGAATATGCATAACGGATTCAAGGGCAAATCCCCATAGTGATGTTGGCAAGTTTGTAAAACTTACCATCGACCGTACCATATCCAATAAAGTACGGTTCCTCTTTTCAGACACGCCGTTATGTTGCGGCATATACGGAGGAGTCAACTGGGATATTATACCATTCCCCTTTACAAAATCTCGAAATTCTATACTTAGTATTCACCACCATGATCTGATCACAGAGTCTTAATACTCTTTCCGGTCTGTTTCTCTACTTCATTCTTAAACTCTTTGAACTTTTCAAAGGATTCAGATTTGTATTTCATTAAATACAAATACCCGTACCTAGAATAATCNATGATTGCATGATCCTTTGTCCATTTATAAACACAGGGTTCATCCGGATTCTTTATAAAACCAAACGTTTTGATTATTTCATCAAACTGAATGTTCCAGCTTCTTGAAGCTTGTTTTAACCCATAAATGGATTTATGCAGCTTGCACACTTTATTTCTTTCAGAACTGGATACAAAACCTATAGGTTGTTGCATGTAGATATTTTCCTCAATAAATCCATTGAGAAATGCTATTTTGACATCCATTTGTCATATCTCATAATCATAGTGTGCAGCTATGGCTAGCATAATTCTGATGGATTTAAGCATAGCGACTGGTGAGAAAGTTTCCTCATAATCCAACCCTTGTTTTTTAGTATAACCTTTCGCAGCCAGTCTTGCTTTGTAGGTCTCTACATTTCCATCTTTGTCAATCTTTCTCTTAAAGATCCATTTACATCCAATAGGAACTATTCCTTCTAAAGGATCAACGAGAGTCCATATTTGATTACCATGCATAGATTCTATCTTAGACTTCATAGCTTCTAGCCATTTTCCAGAATCGATATCTAATATCGCTTCTTCATAACTTTTAGGATCATCCCCATGACTGACTTCTCCAATCATCATAGATTCAAAAATCTCTTCATGAAGTAAACCATATCTTTCTGGAGGTTGAGATACTCTAGATGATTTACGAATCGAAACTGTTTCAGGTATTAATGTTTCTTGAGAGGGACCACCCATTTGAGTATTTTCGGTCTAAGGCTCCCTAGACTCTTCCTAGAGCACAATTTTTCTTCCAGCACTACTCTCTTCTAAGAACTCTTTCTCAAGAAAATGTGCATTCCTATTGATCGAAATTCGTTGATCAGTGTCGA